GGTATAGCAGCATCAGCAGCACATGAGGACTCCTTAGAAATGAAAATTCTAAGCCCCAGCCCAGATTTACTCAGTTGAAAGCTCTGAGGGTGGGGCTAAGCAATATGTTTTAATTATACTTGCTTGTGGCTCTGATGCTTGATAAAGTTTGAGAACCATTGATGAAGGTAAAGCAAACTCCTTTAGCAGATATACACTTCCATGTTTAACAGAATGGAAATATATTTGTTGCACATTTAAAAGTACTGAGACACATGGCTCTATGTAGCTGCAAGGGAGGCTGAGAAATGTAGTCGAGCCTGTGCCCAAGGAAAAGAAAGCAATTCTATATAAATGCTCAATGATTCAATATGTTTTTTTCTATTTGTTCAGATGCTTCATCAGTAAACTGGATAGTAGTTTGATCTTAAAAAACAATAGTTTTTACCTGAAAATGTTATTTTTGTTTATAGTCACTTATTTTTGTTTATAGTCATTTTCTTATTTTAGTCAGTCAGCATATATATTCCTGAGCACCTCCTTAGTGCCCAGCCTATGCCTGTATATAGAATATTAGCTCTGAATCCATTACTACTGCTTTCTAATCTCTCTGTATAAGAGCAGAATGGTAAGGGCCCTGGCTTGAAGTTTGAAAGACCTGGGTTCCAATATGGGCTTTTCTAATTGCAAGTTTTTGCCTTACGTAGATTATTTAACTCTGATAAGCCCCACTTTGCTTGTCTATGAAATGGATATAATAGGCTTAGCACCTAACTGGCGCTTAGTCTATGATTACTATTAACACTGCCTCCCTTTTTATGCCAGTCTGCACAGCCTAGTTAAATCTGAGTATTCAGCCTTAGAGGAATACAGCTAACTATCTAAAAGCATAACAGCCGGAATGTGCATCAGGATTTTTTGTTTGTAGGCAACAGAACCTGACTTTGTCTGACTTAATCCAAAAGAGAGTTTCTTGCAAATATATGGTAGAACTCACAATCAAGACTGAATATCTGTTTAGAACATACAAAACTAAGGCAGCTTTAAAACATCTTCGGTACAACCACTAGAATTAATGAATTCCTTCCGATTTTTTTCAGTTTTTTTATCCCTCCTGTAATATTCAGTGTACAAGCAGAGACTTTGACTTAGTTGAACCTTGGCCATGTGCCTACCTATGAATTGTACCAGGTTAGTAAGAGGCAAGATCTAGAGTGGGCTGTGGAGCACCCTGGCTTAGCTATGTATTAAGACTGCACATCTTGAGAAGTTATTACCTAAAAGATGCTGATAAAATGGAGTAGCCTAAAAATAGCAGAAGTCCACTACCGAGAGACTTCCAAGTATCCATCACCTATTGGTTAAAGAGTATCTAGGCAAGATCAAACAAATATAGAAAGAAATGGATTTTTACCCTTGCACCACCAAATCCAGTCAACACCTGTAAGAGCTTATAGCACCACCTACTGTTTTAAAATAAAATTTCCTTCTGTAAAAGTTGTGGCTTGTTTTTAATAGTATTTAGAATAAACAAGTGTAATAAACCAAGGAACTATTATTCTGTGCAGTGGTTTAGGGAAATAAAAAGAGAGACTGCTGACTTCACTGATGACTTCATGTTTATAGTGTTTGCAAGCATAGCTCTGAACTTCTGTATGTGAATTGCTGCCGCAAATCTAGGAAGTAAGTGAATTTATGGACTACTTATTGGAAGTAAGTGAATTTATGGACTACTTATTGTAATCTATATACTGTTCTAAGTACCTATATGTGGATTATCTCATTCAAACACCATTATAACTCTGTGAGAGAGGTTTTATTATCTGTATTAGACAGATGAAAAAACTGAGGCACAGAGAAATAACTTGGCCATTATCTTTGTACACCTAGTAAGTGACAGAGCTGGCATTTGAGCCCAGATTGTTTGACTCACTGGAGTGTATTTGTCTGGGTCTCTCTGGAGCAAAGAACTCTCTCCCAATGATCAGGGATGGTTGGTACCTTGACAGTACCTCACATGTGTCTGTGTCAGCAAGGCACACCTACAGTGATTCATTTTCCTTTTTACATTTGATTAACAAGACACTTCTGTCTTTAAGAATATCTTTTATTCACACAAGTAATATACATAATAATTATAGATGACACTTAGATATCATTATGTGCCAGATGCTCTTCTTAGTACTTTATATACATTAATTCATTCATTCTTCTCATCATGAGGAAATGGTTAAGTATGATCACACAAGGAAGTGACAGAGGTGGTATATGAACCCAGATTGTCTGGCTGCAGTCTATGTACTATATTATAGTACCTAAAAAAGTTATTTAAAGATAGTACAAGTGTATTTGGATATAAGAGAAATCATGGTGGTGCTCAGATCTTGAAAAAAATGTGAAGGTAGAATGAAAATGACTGAAGTTTTGGGAAGAATAATTTAAACTTTCTAATTTTTATTATAAGTAATGCTTGAATATATTCTTGGATGTACTTGGTAGATTTTCTGAAGAGTAGAGACAAGGATGTGGATTTACTCGGTTTTTGCTCTATAGAATGACTGTACCAACATGTTTTAGTTTTTTTTTTTTTAAGTTTAAGGGAGTTTTACGTATATAGGCCTCAGTACTATCAGTAATAAGTTAAGCAAAATTTGGTTGCTTGTTACTCATAAGAGCATAAAAGAAGGAGAATCTGCATTCTTATCAAAGACAATAGCTAGTATATTATCAAATACTTTAATTCTACCAGAGCACACATTTCTGAACTAGAAAGAGTACAATGGCTGTGGAAGTTAGTGCCACCTAGTGGTTAGACTAATCTTAGAGGTTCTCGGTCTTCAAAATGATAAAAATTATCAGAGGATCTTGTTCAAAAATCAGATTCTTGGCCTCACCCTTACTGAGTCTAATTCAGAAGGAAGGCGAGAGAAGAAAAGGAAAGAGGGGCAGAGAGAGAGAGAGAGAGAGAGAGACAGACAGACAGAGAGACAGACAGACAGACACAGAGAGACAGAGAGACTGTGTGCGTGTGCGTGTGCGTGTGCGTGCGCGTGCGTGTGTGTGTGTGTGTGTGTGTGTGTGTGTGTTGGGGGTGTAGTGTCCAGGAACCAGCATATTTAAAAAGCAGCCCTTGTGGTGTTGGTTATGACACATTTGGTCCTAACTCTGCTGTGGAACACAGTTTAACAATCGGTCCACCCTCTCTTCTCTTTAATCTTCACTGGCAGCCACTGTAATAGTTCGTGGATTATGTGGACGCTCTGGGGATCTTCTGGGACTATTTTGGGTTGAAGAACATCCAGCTGAACTTGCACACAGAGGAAGGATGTAAATAGGCTACGTGTTTGGGGATGAGAAGAAAGCGCCCAAACTGCGACTTAAGTTTTGCCAAATCAATTTGCATTTCCTCCTTATTTATTTCTGTTGACTTTGGTGCTACTTTTGACTCTGTGGGTCACCCCCTCATTTTGTCTCTTTTATACTCGTCAGCCTGGTATTCAGGGTCTTCGTATTTGGACTCTAGACCTTCTCCCATGGTCCTTAGTGAGAATCCCTCGATACATTAATGCTTCAGTATCCCACAAAATCACGCTCTGGCCTTTTTTCTCAGACTGCTTCTCCCTCTACAGTGCTTCCTCCATTCTTTATGGCTTTACTGCAGCCTTAAAGTTTTTGTACATCTTTTAAAATTCAGAAGACCCATGACCTCAGAGAAGCCCTCCGTGGAGCATTAACGCCTCGTCCCCTCTACCTTCCCACCATACTTTATCCATAGCTTGTACTCTCATTCTGACTCATCATTAAAGAATGTTTCATATTGCTACCTAAATATTCTCTTCATCTATCTATCTGTCATTTTACTTATTCATTCATTGCTTATGTTGTTTCCCAGGTCTGGAATATAAATTCTATATGTTCTTCAAATGCCACCCCTTCAACTAAGCCTAATGTAGACTATTTTCAGCTTCATTTATTGATTCCTTTTCCAAGATCTGCTAGCACTAAGAGCCTTCAACTGCCCACTTTAACCCTTAATTACACATTCTAGTATGTTCATGAACTCTGTGTTAGACTTTTTTCTGCTCTCCGGTAAATTATGGCTGCATAGGACAGCTAAATATAATGCATGTCTGTATTTTATGTAATTCTTTGACATTTTCCGAAATTGCATATTCCCAAATGCATACTGTAGCTCAGTTGAACTTGTTTCCATTGTCTAGCAAGTTGTCCTTATACTCATCTTACTCTAAAAGAGAAGGAAAATTAACATTTTATTGAGCACCTGCTATTTGCCAGATACTGTGCTTAGAATTTCATATGTTTTACCTTCTCTAAAACTTAAAACCCTGTGAGCAGAATGTTACCCATTTCTTAGATTAGACATGTTAGACTCATAAATGTTTGATAAAAGTGTAGCTATAATTAACAGGTCAATATTTGGAACCAGGCTTATCTGACCCCAAAACCCATACTTTATACTCAACTATATCGCCTCCATTAGTTTTAGAACTTCACTTTATGGTATTTTATAGTGATGCTTTGCATTC